TTAAATATTATCTTTATAGTTAATATCAATAACAAGAAAAATGTTTGACTTATGCATTTTTTTCTAGAGAACTTTAGAAAACAATTTATTTTCAATGCCTAACTTTTATTTGTGAATACTTGAACTGATGCACATCTACGTAATCGTGAAATGAACTTCTAATAGATTAATTTTTTTATGATATCAGACCCAAATCGCCTATTATTATAATGATTATTAAATGTATCATTAAACATACAACATATATTTTTCAGAAGGCAGTATGTCGCGTAGATTTTGAATGAACTTTTCATAAAATACAAAATAAATATAGGGCACTGGCACTTAAATGAACAAGAATTAAGAGCGCCATCTTCGAAACTCTCCTAGCAAATCGTTGGCACACACTAGTCGTAAAAATTAAAATATGAATATTTGTATGTTGGAATAATCCAAAAAGGATGTGTTATGTGAAAACAGAGACAGTAAAGCCAATGAATGGCTGGGTGCCAGGAATGTGTACGAGTGATTCTCGGAACGTAACGATATAAACTTATGATATTACTGCTTAACAAAAAAGAGATATTAAGAATTATGAGTCACGGTTTTACTATTTAACTTGGCATGCTCACGTCGTTTTCAATGTAGGAGATGGGACTGTGTGCCAAATGTATCAACCTCTGTAATGATAATTCTAACTGCAAATGATGTAAACGCCAAGATACCTTTTTAATTTTAGTTCGCCTTTAAGAAATGATTTTATTATTACTAAGGAATGAAAGAATTCGGTACTGTGCATATTATATGCTATAAATAAAATTTTAGTTAAACTAACGTATAGGGACAAAATGTGTGTAAAATACAGGACCGACCTGTTTGATACGTATTCACTGCAATGACATCGAACTAGTTTATCCAGACAATAGAACAACTAACACCTTCATCTTTCTCACGTAACCAAAGAAAATATAACGTTAACAGTTATTGCTTGACGTGAAATTCTGAGAATTTTTTTTATAGAAGACGCCACGAAGTACAAACGGTGGTACAAATTTTTGTAGTTGTATTATAATATTGATTAATGATAAGAAAATAATTAAAAGGTTGATAAGATACAAGTACCTACTAATGATTTCGTATTCCCAAAATCTATAAAATAGTTATCAGAGCGACGTTATCAGCCATAATTACAAAATACTTTATCAAATGAGAGAACAAAGCACAATTCTTATTTATTGTTATTTTACAAAGCCAATGCTGAATGAATCGTTTTCAACACAACGTAAGTGCGGCAACGTAGCTATCGAGAAGTGCGGCAACGTGGCGCCACGCCAGGCGGTGCGGACGGGGATCACGGTACGGCAACGTCGCTTCACTGATTCAGCAGTTACGTGATTACAATATACATTATGTGCTAGTATAAACACAGTTTCTATACGTATATAAATCTATTATAATGGCATATAAACAAGAATGACGTTATATTTTCGACGTTTTATTGTTATTGTTCGTTATTGACACAAAAGATACATAGTAAACTCTAATATGTTATTTTCAATATAACTCTACTTCCATTGTGGTTTTCCAATAGTTCAATTTCGAATCGTTTCACAAATTCATTTTGGAATCCTAGTGTGTTTCCACCGGGTGGTATTATTTTCCTCACGTTTGCCATACATAATATTATGTTTCTGCATTTTTGACTTATGTTAAAAAAACAGAAAGTGCATACCTACTCATAGACACGAACTTAAAGATCACTTAAAAAAATTTTTTAATTGCGATTCATTCGATTTAAATATTTTTAAAACTTCCATTAAATGCAGTACATCAAATTGAATATTCAAGACAGGATACACCCATAGCCTTACAGAAATAAAAATGTTTGCATAATATAATTTTAATGATAGCAAAGTATTCTGTTTTGAACAATATATATATGGATTCCAATATATTATATTAAAAACTTAGCCTTCAAACTATATGAATGCATAATATATAATTACTAACATAAATAGAAGTTTAATTATTTTAGTATAAGAAACTGAGATAGACATTTGAAAATAAAATAAATAAATAGAATCTTATCGAGCCTGACTTCGATTCGGGTTAAAACCAATCATACATACATATATAACCTGGGCTGTGTTAAATATGGCTATCAAGTCTCAGTCTGCAAAACCATGTGATCATAAAACTTAAATAAAACAAGTCAATGCAATAAATGCATTTTCACACCAGTTTTAGCACTCTCACAGAGGAATAAATTAGCAATAAATAATTTCGATTTACGGTAATATTTTTGTTTTCGCTTATCCTGATTTTTTGACATGCAAACACGATGACACACCAATTATATACAAGTGTATTGTTATTGATGATAGGTTTAATATTTTTATTATATAAAAGTTTGATTATGTTTGTATGGAAAAAACCGTCGACAGTCATGATTTTATTTTTATTTGTTGTGACTGCATAGAAGGATTTGTTACAATATTTTTTAACGCTATAGACGTGGCATGTCATTATTCTTCTTATTCGTAAGAGTATTAAGGAGCATTTTACCATTAAGTATTTAAAAATAAGCAAAGAAGCATGTACCTAGATGTGTACCGACAATTGAACGGATGTGCATTGTTCAAAGCATGTTCAAAAAAATGTTGTAACAAATGTCGAGAATTCTCTCAATTACTAAGATTTCTCGCGATTTCATCCGTCATGCGCTGATGTAAAATAACTAATTAATCGAATGACATACGCAATGTTATTATTTTGATAATTTATATACATATTTTTGCATGAAATCAGTGTTATGAGAAACTGTCATCGAATTAATGCAATACAATTTAGTTTGAACATATTAAAAATAGCCCCGAATATGTATTTAACCTTGAATGGGCGAGTAGGGCACGACGCACGCGTCCCAGACGAACAAAAACGTAATTGACTTGTACACCAATTACATATTGCTTGTAAGAAAAGACGATAGTCAGAATATGCTCTGTACGCCTTTAGTCGTATCTAAAAATCGTTCGTAATTAGCCTACAATAAACAAACTCGTGCAATTTAGCAAAGAACAGGCGACGTTGTCGAACCGTCCGCGCACAGTGCGACAACCTCGCATAGCGGTATCGGCCGCCCGGTGCGGCAAAAGTACGACGCGACGTTGCCACACTTCCCTACGTCAATATCTCGTACTCGTACCCACGCGATGTATTTTGGAATTACATACCATACTTACCGCAAGGAAATTACATACCAAAGTTAAACCTAACTATAGTGGTCGAAGAAAGGATAAAATTCTAAAATTATTTATTTACAGCTAAGTACCGCGAATAACGCGTCATTTTAATTTACAAAATAAATTCCATGTAGGTTATTTCGCAAAGTTCTAAAGATTCGTCACCCACGCAAATCTATTAGGTAATGAATTTATTTTGTATGATCGAGAAGCAAAAGCTAAACAAGCAATAAATAATGCTGAACATATAATTAAACATAAATAATTATGAGTCTTCGAATACTTTTATTTATGAAGGCACAAATCATCACAGCGGTATCAAATTACAATATTAAAGATTTTCTTGCTTAGTTCTTCTAACTGCTAGAAATATTACTACAAAATACCTAATACATAATTAAAAAGAGATTTCTGACATCATCAGTAAAATAAATCCACATCACATAATCAACCTAATAAATGTGCCAGTTTAATAAGCAAATTAAAGAGACTTTTACAGGTAAATAATAATGTTTTGCCATGAACAGTTTTCCAGTACTTAAATATTCTTAATTTCTTCATCAAGAAAAATAAGGATAATGAAGTATCGCTAGTAGTTGTAGTTGCATATAAAAACCATTTATTTTCACTTGAATAAAAGCAAGCGTAGTTTTGATAAATGTTTTCTGATTATATTTTGTTATTTAAGCCTGGTATTTTAGACCATAAAACAAATTTAGCGTCGAGTAGCGAATGGTGCGACTGGCTCCGTTGGTTTATTTCGTAAGAACCTGCTGGGGATCGCGACGCAGACGCGCGTCAGTCGAACAGTGTTATTTTGTGTGAGCGCGCGTCTTTTTCGTCGCACGTTCGTCGCAAGTGATTGATTTTGAATTTTAGGGTTTCCCTAACCTGTTTTCGTATTCACGAATAAAAAGTAGTTATAGATGATTATACACGTAGGTTTATATTGTGCGCAGTGCAGAATAGCATAAGTTGGTGACCTTGGAGCTAAATTTATATTGATAAGTATGAAACATTATTTTATAGTACGACGCAATAAACACAGAAATGTGAATTTTCCAGAGAGTTGGCTACATAGATTGATAAATAAACCGCCATTAACTCACGTAGTTAGAAGTGGATTTAAAATATATAATAGTTAAATCTATTTGCGTAGCCATAAATAGTTATTGGTTAAAAAGACTGGACCTTGATAAATACCACTAAAGATTCAGTCATGCCAATATATTTAATCTTCCCAAACTTCACTTGACGTTGAAGCTAGAAAATAATAGCAGTTTTCTTCGGTGTTGAATTGGGAATCAAAGTTTAATTGAGGTTATCACACCATTGTTTAAAGCTGTGGTTTAGACTCTACTTAATAATATACACTATTCACTTATAAAATCTCGTCTTCAGTGTAGATTAAATCTGTATTTACTCAAGCGTGGTCGAGACAACGCCTGAGAGATTATTTAAAATATATAATATTTAGCTTTATATAGTATGAATGGTCATCAGTCGAAGGGACGAGCGAATTAAAATTAAATATTTAGACATTAATTAGGTTATTGTCATACTTGTAACTACAGGAATAAATTATTAAATAGTAAATAAACTTTTTTAACGTTATATATAATCAAACAATATTTGGACGTAAATTAATAATAAAATCTCATGAAGACTTTATACATATAAAATTAGTTATACACGTAATATCTTAAGAAATATCAAACAACGTTATAAAAAACAATATAAGAAATAATTTAGTTTGCTATTCATAGATAGTGGATCAGAATGCGGGATGAGGAGTTTGCCTTTAATCCAGTAAGACTGATCGAGGAGGTTAAAAAGCGGCCAGGCCTGTACGATCAGGGTTTGCATCCTTTAGACAGGGAAGACAAGTTGACGCTGTGGAAGGAAGTTGGAGCTGCACTGTGTTCCCAATGGGACACGTATGACCGTGCCGCGGCCTATGATCGAGGTGTGTTCATCAAATTCCCCCTGACTGGTATTCATACCTATTCTTTATAAGGTGAAATTTTTTTTAAGGTATGTGCTCTGCCCGTGTGGATGCCTTCATTTCTGATCGTTGATTAGAATTGGTGAATTAATATTAAAAGTATTTGTTAGTACATGCAAACGCCTTGCCAGTTTGTGATTGAAAAATGCTATATTTTTTAGTATTACAGCTACAAAGGAAATGGCGTTCCCTTCGTGACGCATACAATAGGGAATTACGTTCGCGGAAAACGGGTGTCAGAGTACATAGAAGAGTTTACGTTTACTTCAAGAAGTTAAAATTTCTTGGTGGTTTCGAAGGTGAAATAAGCAGCGATTCGGAGTAAGTAATATTATAATAGAAAGTATTTTCCTGACCTAGCTTTGTATTCATAAACGTAAATATCTTGATACACTAGGTATATATACTTAAATTTATTTTTAATACTATTGCGGATAGGATATTATAATGACTAGACCGTCTTAGAAAGCATAGCAATTAAGGAATTATAGCGCATTAAGCGTGTTCAAGTTAATTCTAGCTCGAAGCACTGAGTAAATAATTAACTTAGAATAAGTTTATTCTCCTGCCTTATTTGCGTACAAATTAGAATGGTAAATAAATATGTACGCGAACCTACATTTAGAAAGTAATACAAATAAAGAAATAAACGAAGACCTAATCCGTGGAACGGATAAAATATATAACTGAAACTCGTAATCAGAAATTGAGACTACTAATAAATGAAATGACATATACCGAACAACCAACACCCCAAAAGTTATTTAATTCCTCATTTTAGCCATTCTAATTGTGCCACCAATGAAGACCAACCGGAAGAGGATAGCATTAAAACAGAGCTTGTTGAGCCTACACGAAAAAAACGTAAAAAGCGACGCGTCAAAAAACCGAGTTCAGAATTCGCACCAGAGGAGGTGGAAATGCCAATATTTCCAGTGGACGTGCCTGACGAAAGCGACAGTGATAAACTCTTCCTTCTGTCGTTTCTGCCTGAGATGAAACAGTTTCCTCTTGACATTAAAATGTGGGCGCGAGCTCAGATAGCGAACGTGATGCAGGAGGCAGTCACTGCGCATATGTCAAAAGTATTGCCCAGTTCTGCTAACGAACGAAGGTTTCAGATCAAGCAGCCGAGAGATAGCTTTGATTAACTTACGTTTAGGTACAATTATTATGTTAAATAATTAAAAGTTATTTTGTTTAAACTTTGTTTATTATTTTAGGATATTGACAAATTTTAAGAAAAATACAAGTTTAAACTCAAATAGATCTTTGATATCAAGGTATGATATTAGGTAGGATATTTTATTTATATATAATGCTTTTTTATTATTATTATAATGTAATAAATAAATAAATTTAAACGTACTTGTTCAAATAACAAAAACGCATTGTTTACGCATTACGCATTACGGTTACGCATTTGAAGTGGAAAATTCCATTCAGCTACACTGACCTTTTAAAATAAAAATTTAATAAACAGCAATTATTTTAATATCAAGTGCTAACAAACTACATTAATTTAGGTATATTACATATATATATATAATAATAATATATAATACATCTTGAGATTAATGTGTAAATAGTATCAAAACACGTTTTTTAGCGAACCATTATCATATTTAAACAACTATTTTTATTAAGAACGTTAAAGTTCTATAATTTCTTTGTCTAACAAACTTTACTAAAAGAAATTATATTCATTTTTAAAAAGAAACAAAACTGACAAAACATTCGCATGAGACTGCGTTTGTCTAAAATTTGCTAATTTCAGTTTTAGAGTCTGTGGCACAGTACACTTGGCATATTATAATATATTATGTCTTTATTTACCTAGATAGAGAATTCTTTTTCCGTAAATAGAGCGCTAATGTAAAGATTTTTTTTAAATATTTAATTGGTCAGATATATGTACTTTCTTCTTGACTTAAGAGAGATAAACAGTAGGTACCTCATGCTTGCTTGTATTTGATAGTAACAAGACTTGGGTTCAATAGTTCAAAAAAAAAGAAGCTTAAGCTCTTAAATGATTTTAATCTGAATTTAGCACTTACGGTTAGTTTCATAACAAACTTTAGACCGCCTGAAAACTTTCCAGCGCCATTCGTGACGCTATAAATCCCTTTATTTACAAACTTTTCCTATTACTTTAAACTTTTCCAGCCACATACACACACAGGCAAGCAAAAAGAAAGGGGTAAAATCAAAATATCGTTGTGTTAGTGGAACATTTCTAAATTTCGTATGGCTAGACAGCGTCTGTATTAATTATAGTAACTAAAAGCATTCATGTGTACGACCTTAGCCCGAGAAAAAGCTTTATGGACAGAGGCAATCATCAATTCAATGGTGAAGATGAAATCTCTGGCCTAGCTTCATCTCACCATCCCACATCACTTGGGAATCAAGGTGAATGCAATGATTGTTTTAAGAAAAATAGTAAGGTGTGATAAATCAACCCCTTTTTACTAAAACTTTTCAAGATTCAGTCAACTCGCAAGAAAAGTTCTTACACTTATACATCTTTGTAGGTTTTTATTATTCCTTAAAATAGTAATGAGCCATATACATCAACTTGTTTGATTACTAAGGAAATAACAAGTTAACGTATACAATCATAATTATTTCTTGATAAGTGATTATCCTTATGACTCATTCCTATCAAGTTTTTAAATACCACGCGTTTTTCTCAAATAACAAAAACTTAAGCTTTGTAAAATATTAATTTAATACTAACTTACTATTCCGAATTAGTTCTCTGATGGGCGATATTAACAGACAAAGGGCGTAAAGAGCAGACACGGAGGGAAGAACCTAGTTACATAACTAAGAAAGAAGTAGATCAGCGCAATGAAGCAGCAGTACGCAGAGGCGTAACGTCAGACGGCAACAAGTCATAATAAAGCGGTGTGGCAACGCGCGTTTGGCTCAGGCGCGGCGCGGCAACCTCGCGATCGATACAGCTGGGGTGAGGGCGCGGGACCGGCTGACCCCTCTCATGCACTAGTACCAGCTCCCAGCTTTAGCAGGACAAACTAGTCGGTTACTAGGTTTTGCTTTCTGCCAGACAAAAAATGCTCGTCTCTTTTAATGTGGTAAGGAAAATCACATCAAAACTCGTTCCTATGCGTTGATGCAGATACTTTAACCTTTTGTATAAATTCCTGGTATATTATGGCTATGGCTATTAGTTGAATGTAGGTTAAGTATTTTAATGGACATTGTGAAATTTATTGTTGAAGCTCAGTTGGACTTTATAGGTCGTCCTTTGTAAAAAAACATTACAAAAGAATTGCCTTGGAAGTTGGTTTTACACAGATATTATTTGCAAGCAAGGAAATAAACAATTTTAAAACAGGTAGTTTTTGGGAAGCCGAAGGCCTAACTGCCTCAAGACGTGACTGAAAACAACTTGGAAATCGCTTAAAGAGGCAGTCACCGAACATATACAATCTGTGTTGGAAACTGGAATCTCGTTTATATGGTCACCAGTATATACACGAGTTTGTATGTTTGACATTACAGAAACCCGTATATGTGGACTCAGTATCACCCTTTAGTATTGAAACGCAAAGCAGGCTCTTTCATTTTATCATATAAATATAATCTGAGCCAGTGCAAGTGGGACACAGGTCAGTAACTTTCTTGCATTTTTAACGTAAAGGTACGAAATATTTTTTTTTGAGATTTTATGGATTCCATGCAGTAATTTTGCTGTTATGTGCGTGGACTTAATTGTACTTAGTTGAATTAAAATTGTTTTAAATATCGTCTCTTATTAATTTATACTTAACATAGTTCCTTACGGAAAGTCTGAATGTTTTCGTTAGAACTCTATACTTTCTCAGGCGCCTTCTTTAGATCCGTTCGAGGCCCTTTTTTGTGGGAATAATTGTCAAAATTAATATTACAATTAGATGAATGAAAAAAACATACTAAGAGGTACATGTCGACAATAACCTTGGAGTGGCACGTGCCTACACGGAGAAATCGATACCTATTGACGGCGTCGAGAGCACATCTAGGATATATACTGTAGACGGACCTATTTATTACCTACAACACCTTATAAGGCAAACTTCAAAGTAGTTAATATGTGCACAACACGTTTCTAAATAAATAAGAGCAATAAATATTAAATATAATATTCAATAATTCGAGTTAAACATCTTTTATTCATGCCATTATTCTTTTTATCTCTCTCAATATGTAGTATATTATAAAAATATATTTCACTATACAATGTATGGATTATGAATTGAATTTGATAAAAACAAATTTTTAAAAGTAAAGTCTAATAACCTACTAATCAAAATCATATTTCGTACTTAGATATACTTAATTCACCATGGCAACGAGGAAAACTTTTGCGTTAAATGAGGATTCTGGGTGATCTTCCCAAGTGAACTACACAAATAAAAACCGCATTATTTTCGACAGACTTTATTCCCTAAGCAAGTAAATAATTAATACGTGAAATTCTGGGCTGTTCGTGAGAAAGTTGAAACGCGAAACTTTTAATTATACAAAAAATTCAAGCAAAGTCCGTTGCCTAAATGGGAAATTGGAGTGGTTCGTGGCCATAAAAGAAAACTGGCACTTAAAAGGGTGCGATAGGATGGAAGCCGACTAAGGCACGCAATTTTACGAAATAGAGAAAATGCGCCTGATAAACTTGGGAACAGTCAAGATATTTGAAACCTTGCTCTAATCTTTATATCTCTTCTAATATAATATATAGGTATACGCGAGTCTTCACTATACATTATAAAAAGGGATATAGAATTTTTATTTATTTATTATTTTATATTTTTGCATATACGTAATACTTTCATCATTAGTTCTACATTATCCCAGAGTAGCAGGCTATATTTATTTCATATTTAATTTGACCGTTTAAAGTTTTAAACTAAAATTTTACCTTAAAACTAAAATATAGTTTGATTGGATTGTACGTAAATGTACATGTTATGTTCATCGAATTATCTAAAACCGGTCGTATTTGCTACGTGTGGTACATTTTTATGTATGGTTACCTACGTAAAATCTTTGTCAGGGCTAAACTAAGATTCCGGTTTTAAGGCCACGTCATTAGATTTAAGAATAAAAATTATGCCATACGACCTACAAAAGCATCTTTTAATCGAGACCATTTGATCCTTGAGCTTTTTGCCCACACATCATCATCAATCATCAGCCACTGATGTGTGATTGATGGATCAACATTAATCGTTACTTCGCCGACAAGGCACTATGATTGTTCCCTTTATTTAATTTGTAGTAGTTTTGGTTTACTATATGCCTATTAGAAAATATTATGTTGGTTTATCATCCCATATAGGGTGTACAATGATTTGTAATGTGAAAGCAAATACAGTTCACACTCGTCATAATATGTCATAGTAGAGTAAGCGAAGCTGTAGGGACGGTTTAGGATCAATATTAAAATCACCATAATTTGAGCTCAGCTCATTATATTCAGATATTCCTAATACAGAATACGAATGAAAATAATATTGTATGAAACCTCAGTAAATACGATATAACAGGATAGCGCGGACCGGCAACGTCGCTTCGGGGGAGCAACGGATCGATACAAGTTGGTTCATTCGAATTTCCAGTAGAAAGTTTGTGAAGTAAAAAATATGCCAGCCTTTTAAGGTAGAGCAACTTTAATAAAAACATATTAAGCGAAAAGAGAATTTAAACTAGAAACTATTGATGCAATGATGAACTACTTTAACGAATACGAATACCAAACGTAATATTCATCGAACGAATAATTCAACAAGGCAATAATAATGCACACTATTCTATTTTTACTAAGATAATAAATAATGGAAATAAACAACTGACTACTATTTTTCAAACAGCACATTTGTAACTTCTTCAGTATTAGGCTAATTCTTTCTTCTATTTGTGACCCCGTTTCTACGAAAATAATCTTTATGAGGCGACAGTAGAAGGATTTAATGAAAAATACTTTTGGGCCAACTATTTCAGGTTTGGGAAATATATATTCGGTAAATATCTACTACTAAGCGAATACGAATATTCGTATTTGTTGCATCACTACTTGAAACCATAAACATGTTAGGAAGAAATAACGTTAAAATTTATATTTACGATGGTGTGTCATTTTATCTAT